GACTAAGTATAGATAGTTTTGCAACAACTAGCAAATATATATATATATGACTCAAAACCCATCAAAAAAACTTTTATAGCACATACTCCTCTATCTAAGAAAACAAAAACTTTTTTCTTTTTTGATTTTGTTGCTATAGCACTTTTTCCCCGATGTACTGCCTCTTTCTCTTTTTTTTTTTTGTTCCTCTGTTGAGTTCATTAGAATGTTCCAAATGGATAGAAAAAACATAATAATGCCCTTCAAACTGAAATACACAGCAGTTGTGAATATTATTAAAAAGAATATGGGACAGTTTCAGTCGAATAGTGCTGGGTCAAAAAAAGTCTGTTTCAGAACAATGCAGGATAAGAACCCTTAACGGAAGATGATAAGCATATATATGTATATATAAAGAAAGAACTGTATTTTCTGAACTGTAGTCTTTGGAGTGAAGCAGTGCCAAAGCGGAACTCGGACCTTCTGCGTCACTCTGCAGCACTGCGCAGTCGCATCGCATGATGTGTTAATTTGAATGTCCCGCCGCGCTGCATTCCAAAGACTGCACTTTTGTGCTGCAACTTAGAAACCAGCTTTCTTGAGGTATTTGATTTGCTGCCAGTCGTTATGATGGTGCAGTGACGTCACGCCGAGTAAATGTCGAAATTTAGTTGCGAAACAAGGACTTCCCGAGGTTTTAAGGTTGATAAACACGTGTAAAAGAAGCTATTTCGTATTTTTCGTCTTTTATTTGTTTTTGCATTTTGGGCGGGTTGTTGTCGTCGGTACACAAAGAGGACTGTTCATACTGCTCCGGTGTGCTTGCTCAGATGATCGATTCTGCATCAACTATTCTTTTTTGGGGGCCATTAGGTAATTTGGTTATATAACTATTACAAAAAAAATTGAAGTATCTGCAGCAGCAATGATGAGTTTTACCGGATTTTTTCGGTTCACTGTTTCTGTCATTTTTTCATTGATAGGCTCTTATTTATAATTTTTTTTCGGTTTTGCTAGGTTTTTACATGTATCAGTTCTCTGAACAAATCTCTTCACCGTTTACTGGTCGGGAATTGTGAGCGTAACCCGCTGTTCTCAGCATGAAACGGAAACTTACAGGGCGCTTCTTTTCAGACAAAAATAAATAATTTTGATTTATAATCATCCGATATCAGTGGCTTATTTCTCCCTTGCAGCTAATATGTTTTTACCATTCTCATATAAGTGAGATGATAGAAATAATTTTAAGTTAGATTTTTCATTTCATTTCTGTTGGTCATGTCACTCATTCAATCTTTACTTTATGCGCCGGACTATATCATTAAATGCTTTTCCTGTTTTCATTTTTTTTTCAAGTTGCTTAGAAAATTGAGGTAAAATTTAGCAATTCTTTCTCAGTTTGCCCTGTTAAGTTCACAGTTGCGATTTTTACGTTTCAACAGGTGATGGTATTCATGTTGTTTTGCGTAAACATGGTTTAAATTGTAAGTACAGGCACAAAAGTTTTTTAAAAATACACTTAGTTTTCAAACAGAAAGCAGTTTTTTTGTAGAAGATTCAAACAAATCACTTGTTCTTCTGTGTTTGTATGACAGCTATTGCGTGAGTGTCGCATATTGGAGTGCTCCTTTCTATGCAGTTAACGGTCCGAGGCATAAGTAGGAAGAATTTGTTTCGGTTTTAACACCTCTTTTTTTTTTTATTTCTTGTTAACTTCCTTTAGTCATACTGAAAATTTTGAAACGATTCGTTGCGAGAATTGTGTTTTAATCTGTCGATTCATTTGGGAGTCAGTGTCTCTTTATTTATTTTTTGAACTTCAGAAACTTTTGTGCAGAATGCAGTTTTTTCACTTTATCTCAAATCCATGTACTACTTTGGATTCAGGTTTGATTTTTAAGGAGCATTCACAAGTTTACACGTGCGTTTTGGTCTATCTGTGAAAGTTTTGTCTGCAAAATTGGTAGTCGTTGTCGTCGCTTGCTGTTTATCTTTCATCGCTCCTGTAAATCTCGAATGATTTCACTTTTAGATGATTCAAAGTGGGTTTCAGCAATTCACGCACAGATCACTGGTAATGCTTAAGAAGGTTTTTGTGTTTTAGTTCTCGGTTCATTGCTCTTTGTTTTAAGATGATGGTATATCGAAATTTTTGTCCAATTTCGTTGGTGTGGCTGTGAAAGTATTTGCACTTAAGTTGCCTGAATGTTTATTGATGACTAATAAAATTCTTTTTCTCTTTTTCTTTCCTTCGCTAGCAGACCGGTCAACAATGATCGGATCACTTAAGGGTGGTGTTCTTCATAAGGAAGTCCATGAAGAAGAATGTCCTTGGGGTGTAGCTTTTTACTGAGCAATATATTTTATGGTCCGGGCAGAAACACCGGTCAATTTTTCAGCTGTGATTTAGTCGTTTATTAAGCTGCTTTAAACCGTCATAATTTTTTTTTATTATTGCTATAGGCTAATTTTAGTTGATAAAGTCGGTCAAGAAGTTTTAACAAAATTTATGTTTTAAACATTTTAACGATTAGTATGCCCCGGTGAAGTTACTTTGGCACTTCCGCCAACTTTGTGAATCGTACCTTGCTTCACTGCATCAGTTTTCTTATCACGAATCAAACAATAAGTTTGTAAGAGGCTGTTGGGCGAAAAGTTTTTATTATTGTTTTTTAGTTATTTAATGTCGAGGGAGTAAATTTTTTGCTTTTTTAGAATACGACCTAACTTATTGCTTGTTTTATTTCACTTATTCATTAATTGATGATATGATTTTAATCTTTGCTGTTTCATGTTGCTAATGTGGAAGGTGTTAAATTTCAGCTACAGCTATGCGTTGTCGTCAGGAGAGATTGTTTTGCTTTTGCTGCTCAAATGTTTGTGTTTATTTTGTTTAGTTGCCTCTGTTTAGGGTAATGTGTACTTTTTTTTTAACACTAATAACGGATCAAAAAAATTTTGATTACAAGGGAGTAGACTTTTGAATGTATAAAAGAACTTTACTGGAGAAATTTGGAAAATGGTTGTTCGCATATTTTTCTTTGGGAAGGGGGGTGGGGGGGGGGGCTCGAGCGGGGCTTTGATATGATACTATGATGAAGGGAGATGTTGATCGAATTAATAGTGACGTCACCGAATGTTTTTGTTGTAACGTGGATATCAAGTTTGTTAAGCTTTTGCAATTTTCTAGTTTATGGCTTTTTGATTAAAGTGTGGAAAAAAGTGAGTGGTTTTTGGTCTGGTTATGTGCTTAGCATCGCTATAGTAATGATACATTTGCCATAGTTGAAGTTATCTTACCTTAGGTCTCTATTTCATTGCTGTTTTGATTAATCTTTCATATTATTCTGTTGCAGCTAATTTTTTATTTTTTCCTGTGTTGTTTTGAAATGAGTACTTTTGTTTGCTCAAGTAATGAATGGCCTTTGTGCATTTGAAAATTTTTTTTTATGCCGGCAGACGGTGTAGTCGAAAGGAATTGTGTTTTTATTCTTATTTGCTTATTTGGCAAGTATGTTTATGCCCGAGTAACGAATTGTTATATTTTATTCTTCGGACACATTTGCTAATTATATTTTCGGCTTTAATCAAAAATTATTAATTCTTTTATGTTCAAGTGATGATTTCGTATAGGTCGATTATCAGCTGTTATATCATTAATATCACTTTTAAATTTTTTTCTATGGAAATGTTTCGAACTTGAATTTAAATTCAGTCTTCATAATTATGATCATTACCTACAATAATATTATCATTTGACTTAAAATCTTTTTGTATTACGGTTAACTTTACGTGTAATTATTTTCTATAATATAACATAACAAAATATCTTCTTTGTTCTTTCACTTGATTATAGACATTGTGGCTGAGATAGCTGTGTGTTTTCGGTAGCTCCGGCGGGCCACAATCAGAATGTCGTTTTACTTACAGATGAACCCTTTTTTAAGTAGCAGAGAAAAGCATAGTTGCAGTATTGAATAATTTATCGAAGCAACATTTAAAATAAAACGGTTTCTATTCTTTTACATGATATTTTCTGCGAGATTCTTTATTGTTTTGATTGTAAGCACTTTTTTTGGCCAAGCAAGGGGCTAGATTGAGTTAGGAGGATTCTGTTTGGCGTTTATTATGATGAATTGCGGTAGTAGGGTTAAAAACATTGAATTTTCTCATTGTTGTTGTTTTTCTCTTCTGATTGTTTACCTGTTTTCATTGTAGGCACTGGCATCGACAGGCATATAGATAGTAAGCTAGGTGGTGGGACGGGTTTTGCAATTTATACGGATTTGTGCTCATGTTATAAGTTTTACAGTCCATGTACTGCGACATGTTTCAAGTTTCTGTGGCTGGCAGGTGATCTTTGATCTTTCTTCCGATATGTATTCACAATTTTTTTAGACGTTCTGATTCGAATTAGATTCTAGTATGCAGTGGATTAAAGTGGTTAAAAATTTCTTCTACAATTTACCAGAGTTGGTATTTAGATGCTATAAAAAGAAAAGTTTTTATTCGTAGGTTTTCATTTCATCTTTAAGTAGTTGTAGGTGCAGGACTTTAGACTCATTTCGCATTGTTCCATTGTATGCATTAGAAATGGAACTGCTAGATGATTTTCCAGTCGTGACATTTCGGTTTATATTGCTTGCAGTTAATGAACTGGTAGTGCTTACTGCAAACGGTATCATAAACGCATATTCAGGCTTGTTGAGGTGTAGTAGTTTAAAGCATCCAGCAGGGAAATGTGAAGCATAAAGTGAATATTCAAGGCGAGCATTTCCTGTACGGTTGTGCCGTATCGGCGTATTGTAGTCGGCTGCCTTCAGTCCAAGTCATTGTCTTGTTCGGTATGAGTCTCTCTGAGCAAACCGTGCTCTATCGCCATCTCTTTGATTCTTTTCTTTACAGTTTTTATTTTAAAAATTTGATCGAAAATAAACTGATCTAACTGGACCGAATTTTTTACAGGAAAAGTTGTTTAGAGAGCTCACCGCAGCGCACATATCTCATGATTGCGTTGCGACTCCTTCCATCCTAAACTTTTGTTTTCTGTGCAGCGCTCAGTTTCGCACGCCGTTCTGTTCCAGTTTTTCTCTGTCCTTCCCCTTCGTTTGTTTTCTTTTTTAGCTCTTTTGCGCGCTGAGAATAGGTGTTTTTTCTAGATAATATTTAGTTTTAGTACGTCGTTTGAGCGTTGTCGGTCAAAATGTTGTGTTTTTCCCGCTGGGTTTATATGCTGCTTGCACTTATCAAGTTGCTTCTTGAACGGCGTAGTTTCACAATATGAATGGAAATTTTTAAAAATTTTGGATCTGCAATTTGCGAAGGCCCTGAACTGTTGGTGCTAATATATTCAGCGTTGACAAAAAAAGCTTTTACGGAATTTGGTGGCTCTGCAAATAATACACTGCTGTAAAAAATTTGAGGGAAATTTCTTTTGCAGTCATTTTTTGAAGAAGAGAAAAAGCGTTTTCCTGGGAATTGCCCAGCCAAAGGTTCAGAGAAGTTTTAATGCAACCTACCATTAACACTAGTGTCACTCGCTGAAGCATCTGCAGCATTATACCTTTTTTTTCTTGTTTACTCGGCTAGGACCTATTTCCTTCACATCACACATCTAAATATCACAAATAATCATTTTTTTTGCTTCTTTGTTGGTTTTATAAATATGAAGTTGTGCCGGTGTTAGCTGCCTGTAAGTTGTTGACAGCAGTGGTAGATCGACAACTTTTGAATCAGTTTTTTGGTGGAAAATCCAATACATTGTTGACGTGTAATGGCCGTGTATGTGTGAAGAAGTGTTGACGGGTGAGGTCTATGTTGTCCGTAGCGGTTCTGATAATTTTGGTAGATAGAATGGAACGAAGTATTTTGAAGATTATGGCAAGGTTGTACAACTGCATATGTGTAGATTCTATTGATTGTTTCATAGTGTTTATGTTGGTCGTAGAGATGATGTTTGCGTGAGTGGAAGGATTTTTTAAATTGAAAACTGTTGGAAACATGTTCAGTTGTGGTGTTGAGTTAAATTTTCAAATAACACTGTATGAGATTTGGGGAAGGAGGAGGGTAAAAGGGAACGAGGTAAAACTTATTGGGGATAAAAAATGTGGAATAAAAGTTGAACTGCAACCGTTCCTTTTTTTTCTTAACCGTCAAACGTTAGTGCTTACATTTCTTACGCGCAACAGTCTGCTTATCATATTGTCTTTTCTCTTTTCAGCTATTTTTATTTGTTCTTCCACTTCAAAATTATGTTGATTTACCTTTCCTCGTTTACCGGAGAAACTGGTTTTCGGCTTTGCGCTTAGTATGTTTGTTCCTTTTCTTTATAACCCGAAAAGTATTTTATTTGATTTCTGCATTCCTCGAAGCTTTTTCTTACCGGCTTCCAGTTGATTCAGTTCTATACGTCAAACATTTCTTAAGCTTTTTATTGACAAATATCAGAAAACAGTGGTCAATTAGATTGGAAAAAAGAGATATGAATTGAGTTCGAAGGGTCAAGGAATTATTACCTCATTGGTTTCTTTTAAAGCGGGATTTTTGGTCATTAGTAAATGAAGTCGCTTCTGTTGTTCGTGAAGAGCGTCGGGGAGATGAGGTTGGGGTTGTAGACGTTAGAGATTCAGTGGGTTTTTAGCTACTATTTGTTGCACTTCTTCAAGGAATAATTTTTCGTTGCGCTTTTGTATTGTTTTTATTTTTTTAAAGTTATGAAAGTGTTTTTGGAATTATAGTATTATTTTAGATTTTTAATTTAGAGAAAAGGTCAGAGATGAGTACTTTTGATGTTGGGAAATGGTCATTTGTTAGGAGGAAGAATTTTCCACTAGAATTGTTTCAATAGATTGCTGTTAAAAAACATTGTACTTGGTTTGTTTTTGTATTCGTTCTTGCGGGAGAGGTTTCGCGAGTTTCAAAGGCTGTGGATAAATTTAAGGAGTGGGACAGAAATCATTCAGTGTTCGGTTTGAAGTGGTCGTTTTCTTCCAGAATTGGTCTTTGACTTTGATGAGTGCTCTACTCTTATTATTGATGACCGGGTTTTGACTTCTTCTGCAAAGGCGTAAAAGTTTTTCTATTGAATTTTCTGCGTTTTAATAGCTTCATTTGCAAGCTGCTAGATGTTTTTTGTTTTGATATCCTGCTTAATCATTGAAACTTCTATTTTTCAATGTTGCAAAGGTCGCTGCTGTTATAAAAGTTGGTTTTGTAAACCAGCCTTGCTAGATGTTTAAGCGCCGGAAAAAT